TCTGTTCATGAAGCCAAAATTTCATTTGGAATGGGACTAGATAATGACTTCTACTAGTGTTGTTTTCAAAGCTTGAGAAATCATGCAATATTGTCTTCAAACTCCTCAAAACTTCTAATTTGTCTGTGGCTGCTGGGCATTCTTCATCTGTGGAAGATGCTACTGCCAATTTTTACCATTAATGGATTTTACCTTTCTTACTAGTTTCTCTATCTACTGTACTTTTTCCATTCCTGAGCCTGAACGTGAGATTGATGTTTTTGTCTAGCTCTTTTCATTGCCAGCCTGATATGGCCAGGTGGCTAGGGTGCTGAACTCACAATCTGCGGGTCGCGGGTTCAAATCCCCATCATACCAAACATGCTCACCCTTTTAGCCATGGGAGCATTATAATGTGATGGTCAATACCACTATTCATTGATAAAAGAGAGCCCAAGAGATGGCAGTGGGTAGTGATGACTAGCTGCCTTCCCTCTTGTCTTACACTGCTAAATTAGAGATGGCTAGTGCAGATAGCCCTTGTGTAGCTTTGCACAAAATTTATTACAAACAAACTTTTCACTGCCTGGTTTTGTTCAGGCCTTGTTCACTGTTGATGCAAGTTATTCCTCTCTCTGATTGCTAATTATATCAGGTTTGTACTAAGTTTTTCCTATGGTCTATGTTTCTTCATGATCTTTATTCCAATGCTTTCATGCTGTAAATTTATTCTTTCCCCTTCACCTGTTATTAATATCCATGGTGAAATTTTCTTGTCTCAGCATTGTTACCACTTTTTCCTGCCTCATCCTCCTTGTTTCCATGATTCCTTTAACATGACTTATGGTTGCACCTCTTCCACCATGGTTGCTCAATCTCTGTAATCCCATCTCCCTGCTTGGGAGTTGATCTTCTGTCTGTAGTATCCCTTATCAGGGCTCACTTCTTCTGTCTGTAGTATCCCTTATCAGGGCTCACTTCTTCCATCTGCATCTTCTCCTTGCACTATCCCTTAGGTATCTTTTTCTTATTTCCTTTAATGAGACCCTCCACCAGAATTCAGATAGTTTTTTTTGGGGGGAGTGGGGGTGTTTCTGGTAGGTCTTTTTTTCTACTTTGGCCAGGGTCTCAACATTGGTTCACTTTCTCTCCTCACGTGGTTTATGTGTAGTTGAGATTTCTTCTCTGTGTTTTACCTTCCTATGTGGATTTCATTTTCCTGGTGACTACCTCTCTTTGTACCCACCTTCTAATCATCAGCTCCTTCACTGTCTCAAAGACACAATGTCAGAGCTTTTGGTTACTAGTCCCTTTTTTCATTGTACTTCTTTAGCCTACTTCTGATGATTCTTCAGTTTCAGATGAAGGAATTTTTTACTCTTAATAGGTTGCATTCCCCTGGCCTTTGGATGAAGATAGTTCATGTCATAGACACATTTCTTCATATTCCAATAGCCCTGTCATCACAATGTTTCCTTTGGATTGTCCATCATGATACAGTATACTAGTTTTGGGTTCCACCCTTTGACATGGCTCTTGCTCTTTGTCTTCAGCCAGATCATGAGGGCTTTTGCTCATCATATCCACAGAGTCATCCTTTGTTTTCATTTCTTTCTGGATGTTTATCTGAGATGGCTGAACTTTTTTTCATGGTTTTTTCTGACACTTGCTCTATATTTGATTCACCTTCCAGTTCTTTTATTCACACATCATTTGAGTTCTTTCTACTCCATCTGGTCAGCAAGTCATGTAGTATCTGGTCACCTCAGCTCTTTTTTCCACGATCCCATATCCAGCTCCTCAGACTGTGGATACCCTCAGCCTGTATTGGTTTCTTCTTTTTTGTATGTGTTCCTTGATATCTGCCATCACCCACATGTCTTGGTGATGTTCTGCAACATTCCTTGTTGAGTCCTGTTGGTAGCACCTTATTAGCCAGTTGTCCTTGATTCCTCTTCTCCATTTACTGTCATTTTAAATACCTCTTCTTCTTCCATCATCAGGGTACTTCTTGCTCCAACCTTCTACATTACTCTTTTATATGGGAGTGTTATCTATTCATCTTCGTATGTGGGATTATTCATTCCTTACCCAATGGGCAATTTCTATTATTACATTGCCCTTTATTTGTACTGCTAGATTCATTCTTTCACTCTCTCTTTCTCTCTCTCTGTTCCCCTACACAAGTGGCATTTTTGGCACTACTGGTACATCACGTACTATCTGCCTCTTTGCCAGTCTTCTGTTTCCAATCATTCAGACTTCTTTGCCACCCTGTTTGACCAGAGACTGTCGATCTACACCATGGTGGGATATTGTGCAACCATGTCAGTCTCACTTCACCTTTTTCACTGGGTTTCACTCTTTTCTTCCTCTGTCCATCTACCTTGTTCTGGTCCTTCCTTCCTTTCTCTCCTTCCAGTTTATTTACTTGCTGATTGGAATCTTCTTGTGGTTCCCTACACTTTCACTCAGACCCTGCTTGAACACTTGGTCACCTGTTCCTTTTCTCACTTTTCTTGAAGGTCTTTTTCCTTTTCCCTCTGGTGTGAGGTCATTGTTGTTTAGATGTTTGTCTTACATCCTCTGCTATCTACATTTGCTGGCCACAACAATCCTTCTGATCTTGGTCATCTTTTGTTCCCCATTTGTATGATCTGGTGTTGGTCAACATGCACTTTCAGAATTCCTGTAATTCCCTAATCTTGCCGTGTGACCACTCCCCATCAAGGGATCTTTAGTCCACTTCTCTTACAAGTTAAGTTGAGTAATTGATCCAGATCATTTGATTCATTCTTTTAGTGACCATTGGGTGAGATATCTTACAGCCAGGGAGGTGAACAATGCCCAACACATCTTCTTCATCCTCTGAAAGTTTCATTTCCATCTAAACTTCTCCTTGCAGTTGCTTTTCTCCAGTCTACTCAGAAATTTGAATGGGATGAATACCTCATTTATTTCTTTTCCCAAGATTAATAATAATCTCATCTCCACCTATGAATCCAACCAGTTGCTGGTGTTGCCTCAAAGGGTGTACTTAGTTCCCTGAATCCACATCAAGTCAAGGGTAATGGAAAGTGTTCAGCCCATCCACCCTGGTTCCTATGTTCCTTGTTGAGGTGGGATTTCTTGCAAGACCTCTACAGTACATATATCTCACTATATCAATTCCAGACCATACCTTCCACAGACTATCAAGGGAAAAGATAGCACCAGGGAAGTGCCTACTCACTTCCCTATATCATGCATGCTGGTTTTTAAAAATAGGTTTTTTGGTAATCCACTGCATATTCTCCAGTAAAAGATCCTGTGGTGGCTAGGACCAATCAGGTCTGTGCTCCCCAACATGAATCCCTCCCCACGACTACCACAGTTTATGTCAAAACACTTGATTTAGACGAGAGATAGTTCAGGGTTAGTGGCAGGCACAAAATCTAAATGGTTGGCATACAACAAATAGCTACTGTATGCATAGAAGTAAGTATCTATTTAGAATACATTTTCAAGTAAGGAAAATGCTGACTTACTATTAAGTGAGGAAATATTTTTTTCAAGATTAGAGGAAATTTATATATACAAATTTTCTCTTCAAAAGGTGCATTGTCAAAAATGGCAGCAGGCAGATTGAAACTGTAATATCATGTAATATCATATTAATCAACTATCATTTACAAAAGCCACGGAGCCTGTTCAAGAAACTTTTAGATATAACAAAATTTCCCACTTTTTTTCACAATTTCCTTTAACACAAGAATAATAGCATCCTTTAATCACTATGATCTAATAATGCCCTTGTTGAATACTAATACTAAGTTAAAATTCTTACTGCATCAGTCTGTAGTCTTTCAAGCAAAAATCTATTATAAAATATGCATTTATTTTAACAAATAGAACAAGAGTTAATTATCTGGTGTAATTTATTGTCTCTTCTGTAGCCTAAAGATATTATTGTGATGCACTTTATATGTAAAATGGAATCCATTTTGTATGGTTCTCTTCAAAATACATTTAATTTAACCAGTTGTAGTTATATAAGGTATTCATACACAAAATTAAGCCTATTAGTACCCAAAAAGTAAAAAAAATGACGTATCTGATTATTAACTAATTTGGTATCAACCAAAATCAGTTTTTAGTTATAATTTCACCATTATTGAAGTCATGGGCCATCTCGGAACAATGCTTATGGTAATGTATATTTAAACTATCAAAAGCAACAGAATTATTTTCTCAAATCCATCTTCATGAAGTATTTCTGGAGCAATAACAAAAAAACAATCGTATATTAGATGTTTCTGCTATACATAACTCTCTAAGGCTCTTTTTATTTAATGCAAGCCCCCTGTGCGTCAGCTGTAGGTTAATGCACTTAAAACACTCAAAAGTTCTATTCGCTCGAAATGGTGAATTTAAGTGTTTTACACTCATAAAAAGGAAACCTATCATTCTGTCAGACTAGTTTCGGAGAATTACACTCCTCATCAGTGACTCTGATCACAGACACACCCCATTGAAATAATAGACATTCCAAGTTTTTATTTGTTGTGAAACAAATGTTTAAACAACTCTATTCAATTATGTACCAGCTGCCTAGTGTCGGCTAACAATACAAAGAATTAAATTGTGACAGAATGCTAAAAGTTCTTCAAATACCTATAGAATGATAGGTTTCTTTTTTGTGAGTGTAAAACAATTAAATTCACCATTTCGATTTTCAGTACCTCATTACTATAAAGGCTTGGTTTGGTCTGAAGTTTCATTGGTGATAGTATCCAGAGTCACTGATGAGGAGTGGAATTCTCCAAAACTAGTGAAAGAATAGAAATTCCAAGCTTTTACTTGTTGTTAAACAAATGTTTAAACAACTCTATTCAAAAGTTCTATTTTCTGTGGTAGAACAGAGTGCAGGTAACCATTTGTGTAACTTTTGAATAAGAAAACAACAACAAAACTTAATGCTGAGTTCTATAACTGTCTAATGAAGCTTTCATATTTGTTTAATTTTTGTTCTCTTTTTTTAGCAATCTTTGAATGATTTTTTTGAGGATCGTCAGAGTCGAGGAAGCGTAAGATTGCTTGGTGATGGACCAGAGTCAGAAGTTGTAGTTGTGATTGAGTATGTTCCATATCACTTACATTCTTTTGTCAGTTTTCAAATAAAATTTACTTTTTCTAATATTAACAGTTGTCACAGTTTTACTTTTAATATTAGATTTTACATAAAAATAAGTATATTATTGATTTTTTAGACAACACATGTATATCTGTGTAAAGAAATGATATTTGTTAAGGAGGTTCTAGAGGTTATGCAAATGAATGTGAAAGTGTAAGATGAAAAGAAGTATTATTCTTAGCAGAAAAAGCATCTTACACTGACATTGACTCAGTAAATGCTGTGGAAATTCACAGATAAAACTTTAGCAGAAATACTTAATTAACGATTTTGATTTTTTGTGTACAACAGGCATGTAATATTTGCTAAATGCTTGCCAAATTTTGGAAGATACATGCAGTAAATTCAGAATTATAGTAACCATTGCTTTTTATAGCTTCACAGTTATGGAATTGCTTCAATAGACCTCACACCTGCTTAAACCTTTTGTCTTTAGTTGTGGTAACCCTCTGAATTGTCTATCAGTGTGGGATCTAATTCCAAATGATTGTGCTCGATGACAAAGTCCAAGCACCTCTCAGGTATTTTCCTCTACATGAATTCCTCCCACTCCACTTTTTTTTAGTAGTGTATAGGAGAATCCTTGCTTCCACAATCCGAAGCCACTGAGGAAGTTGATAGAGAGTTTGTTATCAGGTGGGGCAGTCACATTGGTACAAGACCAAGTAGATGCACCCCTTAGTTAGGAAGTAGAGCCAGGGTATTACCTTGGCATAATAGTATGTTATGAATTAAGCCATTCCCTGTGGTTCGATCCAGACAGGTGGGTCCTGAATTTGCCTTGGTCCAGCATTAATTTTGCACCCTGCTCCTGCTCAGTTGTCTGCCTGTGAGATAATGGCTGGTTGAGCTGTTTCACCTTATGCTCACCTTAGTGATATTTTAGCACCATGTAAAAGAATTTTGGGACACTTTCTTTTGCCACTCCTCTCTTAACAATGAATGCTATAATAACATTGGGCAAAGAGTATTCCCTGCTTGATATTGATGAAGTCTTCCTCGTTAGACTACCCCCCGCCTCATGGGTGTCACACTTCATGGGATTTCCATTTCAGTCACTGTTTTCAGAAAGGAGTTCAACTTTGTAATTTTTTTTTCTCTGAACTAGCCCTTCCATCATCTTCAATGTGGAATTCTAGCTCTTTCTTATGGAAGAAGTAACTTTTCGGAAGTTAATATGTTCCTCACCTCTCTGCACAAACTCCTAACCTTCCTTCCCACTTGTGCACATTTTCTCTGCCTTGTCAAGAATTAGCTTTTGTTGAAATGCTACTACTCATGGAGATTATTTTAAATTAAGGATATGTCATCCTCTCACTTGTAGATGGCTGTAGTCTAATGATGACTACTTTATAGGCTGGCACAATACACATTGACATATTTAGAGATAAGAACTTTGTTCAAGGCTTGTGGTATGCACAGTAATTTATGTGTCAGTGAGCATTAGGTAATAGCTCTTTATTGTGCATAATTGTGATTATCTATCTGAAATACATATCACATAAGGAAAATGTTAACTTCTAAGTTTTTGTATTTTGTTATTAAAATATTTTTATTTTTGCAGTTTTTGAAAATAAACATGTTTTCTTTCTGACAGTGACAGTCCTAGAAGTTTGGCAGCAGCTGCTACTGCTGTTATTACAGAAACTATCACAGCAAATAGAGATTCACCACAAATAAAGACAGAGGAAGTTGCTGATATTTCAACAAAGTTGAAGTTTATAACTTGGAACATTGATGGTCTCAGTGAATCAAACTTGAAGCTGCGTACAAAAGCAGTTTGTAAAATAATTAAAAGGTATTAATTCTTCAAACATTTAATTGTTTATATAAAACGTTGCAAAACAGAAGTTTGGATTTTTAACTTTTGCTCAGTTGTATTATCAGCAGTTTAAAAGGTATTTTTATTACTTTCTAAAACACGGCTGTTATTCTTTAATTAACCCTATATGCATGGGTTGGGGTCAAATTGTGCAAGCCACAACCTTTTACAAAGTGTCAACATAGTATTATATATTTGATGTCAGAATTATCAGCTATTTGTTTTACCCTACATTGCTGATTTAGCAACAGTTCATGGTAGAGGAGAGTAAATACCAGATACAATAATATACAGAATTACTGAAAGAAGTATAGATTTTCATTTCTTAGGACTAGAGGTTGTGCAAATTCCTTATGCAACATATACTATGGACAAAAATATTTTTATTCTTCACATGAACATCGCCTTGTACTCCAACTTGAGTCTGAGTAATGTTGATGTCTTCAATTCATGGACATATCTTGAGTACAGATACCTCTGTAACTCATCTGATTTTTTGTGTGCAAGAGACTTGTACATTTCACTAAAAAATTGCCACATTTCATATAGGTAAACATAATAACTTTGTAATTATAGTCCATATTCCTTCTCCAAATATTGGGTCAGTTCAATGGACCGAGCTAGTACACATTTGATTAAACAAAAATTCTTTGGAACTTTTGTACAAAATGCATGTTTGATAAATTGATAATTCAAAGGTAATTTGTACTATGTAATCTGAACCAAGTAGATTTACTTTTGAACATTTTAAAACTTAGTTTTAGTTTGAAATTCCATTTATATTCAGGTATTTTTTGTCATGTCTTACCAGTATTGTTACTGATTACTGTTAAGTTTCTTCCAGTGCTACAACATTTTCCACGTGACCTCTTTAATGGAATTTGGATCTTCATTTTTTTTGCAGCTGACAGTTCTCGTTGAGTCTTCTTTAATGTTCTAAATAAACACCCGACTTCTATGAAATAGTACCTTGTGTTAGAGAACTTGCTTGTAATACATAATGAATACATCATAATCTTTAGATTTAGTTTTCTTACATTAACTTTTGACAAAAGTAAGGCATCATGAATTCTTTTACTTAATACAAGTTTTTTATGTCTGAATTATTTTTAAAACAGAATATTAAAATATATGTATAGTATCTTTTTTTATGCATCTAAATGTACACTAACCATGTAGTATGTTTCACTTTTATATATTACATTTCTACTATCATATTCATATTCATTCAGTATATTTATTACACACAAGATATATATGTATGTATGTATATATATATATATATATATATGCCAGTTAGTGAATGTCATATATATATTTTTTCCAATTATATTTATATCTACAATTTTCACTCCTAAAATTGATCTAGCCATTATTATCATTGGTGATAACATTGTTTTGTAGGCTATACATCTATGAAAATTCGTTTTTTAGACATATATAATATTGGCAAGAGTTTTTCATTTTTTTATACATTCCATTTAATGTTGGGTCTGACTACTGTACACTGCAAGATAATACATGTATATGTACACACAAATGTGAGTTTGAATTTTCTTCAAGTTTGTATTACATTGTAATGTACAGTGTACAGTAGTTAGGCCAAACATGAAATGGAATGTATAAGAAACATTAGTATTGCTACTTGAGGCATCAAATAGAACTGTTCTCAATGTGCAAGAAGATTAAACTGTCTGAATATCAGTCATTGGTAGTGGTATTTTGCTTGCTTTTGCATAATTTATGTATTTTGTTATATTTATAAGTGAAACGTTTGGCCTTTGAAAAATTAAACTTTTTAAATCAAAACATCAGTAAACGTATAGAAATAGTATTACATAAATGTTTATTTTTACACTCTACATTGAGCTTGTGTTTTTACTGTAGGTCTGTGACTGGGAGAGGGACAACTAGTACTTACTTTGTATATAAAAACTTGTAAATGCATTACTGAAATCAGTATAATGTTACTATTTCTCATGTACATGTGCTAACAAAAATACTAGGATGTTAAGAAAGCTGCTCTCCCCCAGAGGAGAACTAATGTATGACCCATGGGTCACGAGACTGCTCCAAGTCCAGTGCTGTTTCAACTATACTAATGATGCTTAGACATGTCACTTACAAAAATCATACACATGCAGTAATAAGCAAGCCACTTAATTAGTATGTACATAAATGGCTTAGTTTATGATCAACCAAGCTCAGGAGATCTTCCATGGTGAGATGACCACTTGTTGAGAAACCATTTAATGGATCAAGAAGGAGCTTGAATGCATATCTCTTAACTTAGATTAGTACATCAAACTTATGTCTAACCACCTGAAATTATAGGCTAAAGTGTGAAATAGAGAACTCCCCATTCTTGTTTTAACAGTGTAAAAAAAAACAGCTTGTATAATATGTACATCAGATAGTTATTTCAGCTTTTATTCTTTGAATAAATGAATTATAATACTTTAAATTTAGTTAACATCTGGTCAAAACAGGCATTAACTGAAGTTTGATTTATTATGTAATTGGTATTTACAAAGAGGCTACAATAAATCCTATACACAACGGGAGGCAAGTATACAACATTGTTATTGAATTTGTATTCAAATTCAAAATTGACTAATTTTTCTATTTCTAATATTTTTTCATTTATTTTTATCAAAAGAGTAAATTAGTTTGAGGTTTTTTCCCAGTAAAGACTACATTTGCAATCCTCTATTATACTTGATTATTGATTAATTATTTTATAATTGTGAAATAGTAATTTGTGAATGTTGTATTAATTATTGTCGTATCTATACTTTTTTACATTAGATATTTGATAACTTCATTCTTAACATATTTTAATAATTATTACATTATTGAAGTGATTAGATACCTTTATTAATCAGGAACTTGATCAGTAAATGTACATGTTCACTCATGGCCCTGTAAAGAAAGCTCTGCCTAACATTTTTATCATAAATATTGCTATATTATATTACAAGTTACAGATTATAATTAATTACTAAGTAAACTCAAAATGAAACCATAAATTTTTCTGTTTACTATACATGGATTATGGTTAAAAATTGATATTTTTTAGCACTCATTACAAAAACGGTAAAATTTTGTGAATTTAAGTTTTAACTAAAATGTTCCTGCTTTGATTAGTTTTAATGAGTAGGTAAAACTTCAAATCTTTGGATTAAGTTGTTAATTACTTTCAAGTTGTATTAATTAGGAGTCCCTTTTTATTATTTTTATTATGAAGAGGTAGATAAGAGAGAGAGTTCTTAGAAAAACAAAACAAATAAAACATCTTTTTTTTTATAGCTCTTCAATGTCTCACTTAGAGATAATAAAATGTAATCCAAATTACTTGACAATCACCTGTGGTTTTTATGGAGGAGCTTTATTTATGTATAAAAGAAAGATTTATATAAATCCTCTTTATACATCATGGAACATATCTCATGTATCACATTGATGGTCCAAAAATGTTTATTAAAAGCAGTATTACTGTGAGTGGGAAAAAGTGTAGTGTTGCTAAATTTGTTAGGAAAAGAACAATGTTGTGCCATAAAAACATTACTATGAACTTGAGAAAGTGGTTTGTATAAAATTTCGTCTTTTTTTTTGTCCTTTTAGAGAAGAAGCTGACATTATATTTTTACAAGAAGTAGTCCCATTTTCTTGTCACTATATTCAGTCCCACATACCTGAGTACCAGTGTATCCAAGGGAACTGGAATGGCTATTTTACTATGACCCTTCTGAAGAAAAGCATGATCACTGTTGAACATCACAATGTTATTGAATTCCCTAACTCTAGAATGGGCAGAAATTTGTTAAAGATTGAGGTACAGAATTATTTGTTAACAGTGTAAAAAAACTTCAGACAATGAGTTTTAGACATAAATAATTAACACTTATCAAGTTGCTTTTAACAAATTGACAGCTTTTCCTGTATGTGTAGATGTGAATGTTATTACTAGAATCGTGGGAATAGCAACCTCAAGCAATATCCTGTTTAAAAATAGAAGGATTATTAAAAGCATAAATTTATTCAGTAATTCCATTTGTTTGTTCTATTTGGAATTTTTAACCAGATTTATACCATACACAATATTTCTAAAAAAGAAAATTGTTAAATTTATGATTTTTTTTTCAAAACAGAATCAGTTTTAATTCTGTAACATTCATTATCAAATATCTTTACTGCATAGGCCAAAATTAAAGATATACCACTGACTCTTTTCAATGCACATTTGGAAAGCACAAGTGAAGCTTCATCTGAGAGAAAGACACAGCTAGAAATGGCATTCACGAAAATTGTTGATACTCCAAAGGACAGGACTGTTATATTTGCTGGAGATCTTAATCTTCGAGATAAAGAGGTGAGCTCCACAGGAAAATTGTAGAATGACTATTTTTGGAATTCAACATTTATAAAATGTTCTCTTATAAAGAATACAATTGTTAAAACATTATTTGCTGATAGGTATGAATGTGACTAAATAATGTTTTTCATAGTTTCATCATATAATATATGCTGTGATTTATGGTATAAAAGCATGTGTACATGTAGTGCTGTTATCAACATTTTCCAGACATTGAAATACTCTACGGAGAGGGAATTTTGGGACATATTGTGAATAAGGTACTGGGTGAATGAACCCTTTTGTGACAGGTCACATGTCAAAGGCCATGTCATCACATTTGTTGGCTTGCATTCAACATTTTATTGAACTACTATTCTATGAATTTATGTCAATAAGTTTGGCATCAAATTGTAGATTATAATTCAAATTTTAGTAATATACATTAGTTAATTTCTTAATTTAAAAGCAAATATTTGAAAAAACAGCTAAATATCAATTTTTGTGTGTCACATCGAATGTTTAAGGCAGCACTGGTTCAGATTAGATGTTTGTGATGTCAAAATACTAATTCTATAATTCTATACAAATTAGAAACTCAAATTACCAATACTGACAAGCTAAGATATATAATAAGAGCTTCTTATCTTTTGAGTTTGCTAAGATATTGCTCATGTAATAAATCAAACACAGTGGCACCCTGCCCACCTCTTTCAATTTTTGGAAATGGTCCCTTTTATACATTTACTTCTATATATGACATGAATAACCAATTGAAAGCTCAGAATGTATCCCTAGTGGTTTTCTCATCCATTTTCATGTGTTATTATGTTAATTTTGTTCTTTTCACACAAGTTTTCAAATGATAAGGTAAGATTTTAGTGAGTTCGAAATTGGATATTTTTTAGACCCAAATACAGCTCATTTACTAAGCTTGATAAATTATAGTAGAATTCTATGGTATCGATAGAGTAATTTATGATTTTTTGGTTATTTAAAATGTGTATATAAAACCTAAACAAAATTTTCCTTTCACATCCTCCACATGGGAAATTTCATGAGGCTTAGCAACCTACCACAAGTGGCAAACGAGTACGAAGATCGTAACTAGAAGAAATAATTGTTTGCTTTACTTCTTTATTTACTGTTCTATATTTTAAGAAGAATAAGTTTAAGAACTTATTTGTAAATAGTAATAACGTATATACATATATACTGTATAATAATTGAAATGTGATTGTATTTTACAAAACACTAGTCCACTAAACACAGCCAAGACAGGTCACTTTGTAAAGACTAAAGGTCAGTTTTATATTATTGGATATGATAACATGCGTGCATGTGTGATATATTATTACGACTTCTGTATTGTTAGCTAGGCACAGCTGAAAGGTCAGTATAATAAAAATATTAAATATATATAAATGTATAATGTTATGAGATTTAAGCTATTTAGACTAAACATTTGCATTTTCTTCTTATAATTTGTAGTCATTCTAGAACAAAAAAAAGCACAATTTATATTTTTTCCTAATTTTGTACTGATGTTACCAAGTCGGGCAAATCGAACCAACCCGTACAGAAATACAGTAGTGAAAATAACAAATAAAATATAAAGTTTTTTTCTAAAAACATTTCATAATTATCTGGAGATTATTGAGATTTCGCATGTGAAATTTGAAAATGTTCTAATGGATTAAAGTATTTTTTAATCTTAAAATCAAAATTGCTTTGCAAGTTGGACAGTCAACATTCTGAAAGAAAAAGGTTTATGAGAAAATCTTTAATTAGAATATCTTAATACTTAATTTAAAAACCTGATATTTTGTGTACAAAAACCATGTAATATTTACCAATAACCTGGATGAATAATATGGATACTTTCGTGGTTACAAGCTGGGTGGAATACACCCAGCCCGTAATGGAAGGGTTATATGTATTACACTGTGGAATATGGATGATGTAAAACATCTGCATTTTATACTTTCTCTGTAAGAGACACTGTAATCAATTTTTAAATAAATAGTATTTTTAGATGGTCTAGCCCTTAGAAGTAGATAACATTAAGCTTTGAAGAAACTTGATACATATGGTAATTGTATTTTACTGAGTTTTGTTATGCTCAAAAGTAGCACAAGTCTCAACTTATTTGGTGATTCTGCATATTTATACATATAAATCTTAAATCCATTAAAAAAAATTATATAATATTGTGAGTAAAACTAGTTTTCAAAGTTTAAACCTTATTTTTTTCTAAGTGAGTAGAACTCTGGTTTCAGTGCTTTATGCTTTTATCACTTATTAAGAAAATGGGAAATGATCAATGATTTCAGTTACTTGACTCTCTGAAGCTAGTGTAGCAGGTCTGTGTACAACTAAAACTGACCATACAGCATATTTAATAAGTAAGAAATGTTAGCAATCTTTCTAATTTATTTTCAAAGTAAAATAATAATTACTTTCAGTAACAAAAAATAATTTTTAGGCTGTGAAATATTTGAGATTTTGTAAGGACATTTTACATTTGGCATCGGGAGTGATGATTTATAAGTTTGAATAACATTGAGCCTTTCTTATCAATCCGAAACAATGGGGAAATATTGATTTTTATACAACAAATATAATGTACTACACTTCAAAAAATGCTTAGATTTCATTGTATAGTATGCTTAATCGTGAATTAGTTATTTTATATATTGTTAGTTCAGGAGTTAGAATTGCAAAAATTCCATCTAAGTTATTAAGTTTATATTTCATTTTCAAGATAGCACATATATGCATGTATTTTGGTAAAAATATTAATATATATATACACAGATTATTTAATACTTTAAGTGAAATGAACAAACTGCCCTCAGGTTTCTCAACTAGGAGGCCATCCTGCTTCTGTTCAAGATTTGTGGATAACCTGTGGTGAACGGAAAGAATGCCGGTACACATGGGACATGAACCGTAATGACAATCTTAAGTGGATGGGTGCTTCTAATTACAAACCAAAATGTCGCTTTGATCGGGTATTTTTCAGACAGAGTTCTCTGCAACAGGTGGTGCCAAAGTACTTTGGACTGGTTGGGCTTGAACGATTGTTACCACATCGCTGTTTTCCCAGTGACCACTGGGGAGTTCTCTGTCATTTTGACCTAGAAGGTTGAATAAAATGAACTTGAATTTTTGTTAAAGTTAAAACAGTAGTAACTTTGCAGAATTCTTTATGTACTTGTACAGTTGCGAAAGGATACCATAAGCAGCTTATATTTTATTGTAAACATTGTTACATTAGCCTTTGGTAAAATAGTAGTGGAAAAAAGTTCTAATATAGTGAAGATTACTAGTTACTTTGAAATTATCAGACATTAAAATAGATCTAAGCTTTTAATTAATGTAGTAATACTTCATTAAAAAGAATAGAAAAGTTTATCTAAACCTCTTGTATAAATATAAGAACAACTTTGAGTGATTCTGAATTCCTTTGAAGAGTCTATGACCTACTAAAGTTTTCCTTTTAGAAATAATAGATGAAGGTTTAAGTTTAGTTATTTTTTTTTAGTTTTTGTGTCACAAAGTGATGTATAAAAGTACACTGTAATTCAGATGATAAATTTGTTATTACATTCCTTTGTAATGATTATTTTGGTAATAAAATTTATTTGCAACAGATGTTAGTCATTAAACAATCAGGAGAAAACAAAAACATGTATTATAATGTGCTCAAAGAAGAAATTTAAATACCACATTTTAATCATATTTTGTGAAGTTGAGTGAAATAATGCTATGTTATTTCACTAAAGTACAATAACTTACAAATTATTAAAATAGCTATACTACTACTAGCTAAGTAAGTTACATATTGAAGATTAGTTTGACATAATTCTAAGACGATAACTCACCTCCAGAAACAGAGCTGCTATCTTCCTTGCATGTCTGCCTCTTATATTTGCATGCCACTCTTTTATGTAACTCACTTTCTGGTACCCAATTATGCATTTTTGTTATTTCTTCACTACCCTCATACATTACCTCTTGCCATTTCAACTTATGCCTGAGGCACTTCATCATGTTCCCATAGTTTTCTGGAGAGGTCCATTCTCTTCTTTTCACTACGTGGACCTGTACTACCACTACTTCTGATCTACCCTGTCTTGCTTGATTTCTCTGCTGTTGGGTAAGAATGCTCTTCTAGTTTATGTATGCCTCCCTCTCACTTCTACCCATGATCTTCATCAGGCTCCTTTTCTTTGGTAAGTCTCTCCTCAACGTTCTGTTTCTAGACCTTCAGAATCCATGTTCCCCCTTCTTTTCCCACCTCCCCAGCCTTCTTTTACTTCCCATCCTCCTTTCCCAATATCACGGTCATTGCTGGTCTCATTGGTGTCTACCCTAGCAGTTTTGGCTCTTTGGGGCTGTCTGTTTCTATATTGTTTCACATATCATATCTTTCCATATCATTTCTTACTCCTGCCATCCACTCGTTACTTCTGGGCATGTTCTTTGACTCCCCTCTCCGTCGGGCTCGGCCTTTGCCTATGAGCATCAGAACGTCTTATCACCAAAGTTTATGCATTCTTTGCTTTCTGCCCATGAGGTTCTTTTCCATGGGAACTCTATTTTTTCTTGCACCACTCATACTTTTGGACCATAGACATGTGTCACTTCCACTGATATTTGCAGATCCCATGAAAATTTTTGGGTTCTGTTGTCCTTGATTTTATGATTCTTTCTCCACCACTTGATGATTTATATTAGTGGCTGGACTGTGTCAATACAACAGTGGGCATCCCTTTGCCACCCACCCAACCAGATCTCTTCACAGGTGCTTTTCTGTTGGATGAAGCACATCTCTAACTGACTATGTGTCTTCGTGCATGTGAGCTCCTGAGGAATGTTCACTCCACATCAACATAATCAAACTTCTTGTGGTTTGTTGGGCATATTCTTCCTCCTCCTGCCAACAGTTATACAGTATTTTCATTAATCAACCATCAGGGTGGTATCAGTTGTAGAACTGTTTGCTTCGAAACTATGAACCTGCTGTTTGGGCTCATTTCCATCAAGTATGTCTCTTAACTTAAATGTGCAAGGATCTCTTAACTTGGTAACAGATCACCCCTCTTGGCCAAATAGAATTCTACCTTTGGTGTGGTCTAACCACCTTTAGGTTTTTTCATTGGGTTTACTCTTGATTGTGCATGCCCCTTCACATTCTCTTCATCATTCCTTTTTGTACCACTCTTCTGGTCCCTGGTTCCTCATCCTTTGGCTACAGAAGTCATTGCTCTCAGCTGGTTCTGATCCTGCCCTTTTCTGCATGCCTCTCCTCCTCTTCATCTCCTCCCTAGTGTGCTTGTCTTGATATACAACACTACTTGTCTTGTCCTATTGATGGCACTTCTTTGGTCTACTCATCTCTAGTTCCTTCTGCTTCAGCAATTGATATGTTAACTCTCTATTCCACTACATCATTCCCTCTGCCTCTTGTTCTGACCTCACGTTTTTTTTTTTTTCAACCAGGGGTGTTGACTTTTTATTTTTGCATGTGTGATTTGTCTGATTCATCATCCACAGTTTTGGACTCCCTATTTGTATAGCCTTCTTATCCTGTTTCTATCATTCTTCAATCTTGTCTGTATCAATAGAAGTGAAGGTTTTTTTGTGGTTGGTCTGTACTCCACTCTCTTCTTCCAGGTATCTTAACTATGACCCACCTTTAGGCCTTCTTCACTTTGCTGTTTGACTATAACTTATTATAGTGCAGCTTTGTTGTTTTATGCGTTTCCCCCCTCCTACTATGTGTTTTCTTCCCCTATCCTCTCCATGCTGTTTTGGTCCTTCTTTCTTTACTAAAACCCTCATACTATTCCCATGCCTAACAGGAATCTTTATGTGGTTTTGTGCTCTCTCAAATGTGCTCCATTTGTACCATTGCCTTCCTCTTCTTTATACCATTTTTCTCTCAACACTTACTTCCTCCTCCTCACCTGTGATTGCAGTATTTCATAGGACTATGTCATCAGTACCATAATCTCTTTCAACATCCTTATTTACTCCTCTACCCTGACAAGACCTTTCTTGTTTGTCCTTGGATTGGTGGTTCCACCAAGACTAGTTGCTAGGCAGCATTGCTGATCATGTTGTGCCCTTCTTGTTACCACCACATGTTTTTCTTCCCTTGTCCTCTCCATGTTGTTCCTATCTTTCCTTCTTCACTGAGTCCCTTATCCAACTCTCATGCCTGAGTGGGATCTTCATCTGGTTTTACTCACTCTCACATATGCCTCATTCAAGCCATTGGCTTCTTGTTCTTTATACCATCTTTTCACTCATCATTCATATTATTATACTTCCCATAATGTCTTTCACCATACTTATTTACTCTTCTACCCTGACTGGACCTTTCTTCCTTGGACTTCTCCTGTTTGGGTAGTTGATACTTCTTTCTCTCCCTTCTATTTATCGGGTCTGTGCTCTTTCAGCCCATATTTACTTCTGTATCTGGTTCAGACTGTTTGGTAATATTTGAACTGAACATCTTCCTTATCAGTTGGTGTATTATTCTCTTGATATCAGTTCTTGCCAGCTTTTACATTTTTCATTACACCACCTTATCCACCTGTCTCACTTTTGTGTCTCAATCTCACCAATCTTTTGACAGGATCGTTCAGGCTGGCATATAGATGTATCCACACATGTTCGTCTCTCATTATCTTCTGTACCAGACTGTTTTGTCTCCTGGGGGTTTTGGCTCTCTGCAGTTGCTTTTTCCACTCCATCTCTAAGAAGAGTAAGTGCAATTTCTTTTAAAGATCCCCATTTCTTCTGTTGGATCTCTCCAGATGGCTGGTATTGCCTCCTAGGGTATGCTTATTTCCCAAACTCTACATCCAGCCAAGATAATGGAAAGTTCATAAAGTCATGGAGTATAGCAGACCATGTTAACGTCACCCAGTTGAAAACCTATAGTATATTATGGAAGTTTACCATGGGATGCATATGAGGTGCTGTTCAAAATAAGTATAAATTAAAAGGAAGTAATAATGAGCTATAAGATATTCGTCTTACGGCATATTTAAAAGGGCCACTTTAAAAACATTAAGCAATCTTCCAGCAGAGAGCCACGACAAATATTTATCATTGTTGCATCTTATAAAACATATTTAGAATGACAAATATAAAGGATGTTTCTAAGGCAAAGTTTAAAAACAGAGTAAGGAGGATTTTTGTCAAGCTTGTTAAAGATTTGGAAAGACTTATCCAGATGATCCAAGTGAAATGATTTATTTGTTGGTATCAATTCATTTATACCATAATGGATAAGGATATGTGGATTAGACTAAAGTAAAGTAGGTGCAATATGTAAAGAAAGCTGTCCAGTTGTTTCTTGCACTTCAGTCAATTAAAATTGCATATGTACAACTAAAAGCACCATACAGAAATTATAAGATTTTAAGATCAAATATTGAGGAAATGTTAAATCCCACTGATAGTAGTTTAGAAGATTAATTATATAATCGGTTACTAATAGTGGAAATATAAACCACAAAACAGTACGTGTTTCAAAAGCTTGTTGCCAGAAAATGCAGACAAAAGCCTGGAATAAATACAGAATTGCTCCTAAAGGATGAGAAAAAGGAAATTGCTATAAATGTGAAAAACAAGGACAATACACCCAAGACTGTGATGAATTAACAGATGATAATTAACCAATGATGACTTCCAAGAACCCCCCAAAAAAACAACAACAAAGGAATGACAAAACTAGCCAGACATTGAACAAATAGAAATTAGCTAAACTTAAAAGGTGATGAGAATGCTCCATCTGCCTCAAATGAGATTAGTTAATTATTTAAACAAATAAGTTCATGAGCCAATGGGTTGATTAATGAGAAGCCTATTAACATGTTGCTTGTTAATTGTTACCTTTATCTGACCCAAACTGATAATGAATAATAGAAAATTGTCTCCAGAAATGAAGCAAGAGGATAGAATGATGTAAACATCAAGTGGACATAAGGTTGCAATAAGAGAAAGTTGGGATTTTCTCTATTCAACAGTAAGTGTGCATATTGGAATAGTCTTTTTGTAAAATCATGGGAGTGAAGTTAGACTCATTTCCAACAGTTCCACGGTCTGACCAGGAGATTAGGGACACAATAATTACAGTACTGAAGGTTAAATTTCCATTGACAACATTGGTGGCATGTATTACATGACTTATATCAAGACCTATTGCGAACAATTTTGCATCCAGTAACTACGGTGTGGTAGAAACAAACAATTCAGCTTATCCTGAAGAATTATAACTTGGGAGAATTCTCGTGTACTTGAAGAATAAGAATGTCATCATTAGGGACCAGAAATACAACAAACTATGAAATCCAGTTCGAATATGTGCAAGCATTCAACAAACTGAAAAAAAAAGCACTAACACTAATGACTACTGAAGCAGCTTACATAACTCGTAATAGATACAAATTCAAGTGACTTTGTAGTGGGAGCATTATTAACACAAATACAGTATGGGAAAAAACATGAAATCCATTACTATAGCAAGACTATAAATTTTGAAAAATGAGATACCATACAACTTAGAAAACTGTTAAATGTTTTTAAGCTTTAAGACCTTTTAATCACTACCTATGTGGACATAAGTTTATATTCCA